AAAACAAAACAAACAAAAAACCCTTAGTACCAAAAAACAGAAATTCAATTTAAAATCTTAGAATGTAGTAAACAGGAACTTAGCAAAATTTAGGCAAGGGGCAGTGGCTCAAACCTGTAACCCCAGCACTTTGGGACGCTGAGGTAGGCAGATTGCTTTAGCCCAAGAGTTTGAGATCAGCCTGGGCAACATGGCAAAACCTCATCTCTAAAAAAAATACAAAAAATTAGCTGGGCGTGGTGGTGTGTGTCAGTGGTTTCAGCTACCTGGAAGGCTCAGATGGGAGGACTACTGGCAGTGAGGTTGCAGTGAGCCATGATTACCCCACTGCACTCCATCCTGGGAAACAGAGTAAGGCTGTGTCTTCAAAAAAAAAAAAAAAAAAAAAAGAAAAAGAAAGAAAAAATTTATAACCTTAAACAATTATTTTAGACAAGAAAGAAAGAAAATTAATAATCTCCACATTTAACTAAAGATTATTAAGGAGTGAAAAAGGGGAATGAATCCAAACAAAGAAGCAAGGCAATATAAAGATGAGAACAAAATTAATTAAGCAGAAAAAAGATATAACAGATAAGACGAACGCACTTCAAAAGGTAATTCTTCAGAAAAAAAATTAAATGAAAAATTACTTTCAAGATTAATCAAGAAAAAGATATAGCAAATAATTACCAATTTTAATTTTTATAATTTATTTTATTTTTCATTATTGTTTATTTTTTACTTAAAAAAATTTTTTTTGAGACAGGATTTTGCCCTGTCCCCTAGGCTAGAGTGCAATCATGTGACCACAGCTCACTGCGGCCTTCCCTGGCTCAAGCAATCCTCCCACCTCAGCCTCCCAAGTAGCTGGGACTACAGGTGCACACCACCACACCCAGCTAATATTTTATATTTTGTAGAGACAGGGTCTTGCCAGGTTGCCCAGGCTGGTCTTGGAACTTCTGAGCTAAAGCAATCCTCCTACTTAGACCTCCTAAAGTGCTGGAATTACAGGCATGAGCTACCAGGCCTGGCCATAATTCAGAATGAAAAAGAACCACTAAGAATGGAGCAGAGATTATTAAAGTTAAGAGAAATGGTTGAGCGTGGTGGCTCAGGCCTGTAATCCTAGCACTGAGAGGCTGAGGTGTGCAGACTGCCTGAACTCAAGAGTTCAAGACCAGTCTGGGCAACACGGTAAGACCCGTCTCTACTAAAAAAAATATATAAAAATTCAGCCAGGCATAGTGGCACATGCCTGTAATTCCAGCTACTTGGGAGGCTGAGGCACAAGAATCACTTGAATCTGGGAGGTGGAAGTTGCAGTGAGCTGAGGTCGCATCACTTCACTCCAGCCTGGGTGACAGAGCGAGACTGTTTCCAAAAAAAAAAAAAAGAATACACAAACAAGTTTATGCCAACAAATGTAAAAACTTAGGTGATATTAATATTCCTAGAAGAGTCAATGACCAAAAATGACTCTAGAAGAAATAGAAAATCAGAATGATTCAATAACTATTAAAGAACTAAATCAGTATTTTAAATTTTTCCCACATAGAAAACACAGGCCCACAATGGCTTCACAGGGTAGCTTGACTAAAGACTGAAGGAACTGATAATTTATTTCTTTCTTTTATTTATTTATTTATTTATTTTTTGAGACAGAGTCTCGCTCTGTCGCCCAGGCTGGAGTGCAGTGGCACCATCTTGGCTCACTGCAACCTCCACCTCCCGGGTTCAAGGGATTCTCCTGCCTTGGCCTCTGGAGTAGCTGGGATTACAGGTGCATGCCACCACACCCAGCTAATTTTTGTATGTTTAATAGAGATGGGGTTTCACCATGTTGGTCAGGCTGGTCTTGAACTCCTGACCTTGTGATCTGCCCACCTTGGCTTCCCAAAGTGCTAGGATTACAGGCATGAGCCACCGTGCCCGGCTGATAATTTCTTTTTTTATACAAACTCTCAGAGAACTTAAAAGAATACATGCTCCTACTAATCATTTTAGTAGTTTACCATAACCAAAGCCAGATTGGACAGTATATAAATGAAAATTTCTAGGCAAATCTCACTCATGACCATGGATGGAAAAATCCTAAAAGAAATACCAGCAATGCACACCCCCCCAAAAAAAATGACCAAATAAATTGCATTCCAGTAAGTCAAGATTGGTTCAACATTCTGAAATCTATTAATATAATTTACTACATTAAGGGATTCAAGGAGAAAAAAATTTATACATGCACACACTTCTTTCACTAGAGATTAGTAATACATCTGATTAAATTCAATGCCCATGCCATTCATGGTAAAAATTCTTAGCAAAGCAGGAATGAAAGAGAGTATTTCCTTAACCTGACTGAAGCCACCTTTGTAAAACTTATTAACAGTGAGAAAACTATTGCAGTGAAAGAGATCTGACCTAACCAACTCCATCTTGCCTTTAACCTCCAATACCTTGGCCTTATTCATCCTTGTGCATACGCCAAGCTGACAATAGGAGGAATTTAGTTTATAGTTAAACTTTGGAACAAAGATGGCAATAGCTCTTTTCCAAAACAAACCCCCTACTTGCCTGGGGACCAGACCATCTTTGCAAAACCAACAAATTAGCCACAAGATTAGAAATTACGGTTTAGGAGTCATGCAGTCAGAAGCCACAAGATTCCTAACCTCCTCAGTTGCTTCCATGTATAATGTTACTATTATAAAAACTAGTATTTAAGGTATTTTCCAGACTCTGCGTTCTGATGGATCAGTCAACGTACCCAGACTGGTAAGTTTATCTGGTCTTCTGCCTCGCCTCCCCCAAGGAACTGACTCAGCACAAGAGGACAGTATTGGACTCCCTATGATTTCATCACCAACCAAACTAATCAGCATTCCCTATTCCCTAGCCCCCAAACTATCTTTGAAAGAAGACCCTAGCCTCCAAATTTTCAAGGAGGCTAATTGGAGTAATAATAAAACTCCAATCTCCCATTTAGTCAGCTCTGTATGCATTAGGCTCTTTCTCTACTGCAATTCCCTGTCTTGATAAATCGACTGTATTTGGGCAGTGGGTAAGATGAACCCATCAGACAGTTACATGACAGATTATCTACAAATACCTACAGTACACATCATATTCAATGGTGAAATATTAAAAGCTTTTCCTTAAATATCAGGAAGAAAAATGACAAGAATGTTAGCTATCATTAGTTCTATTAAACACAGTGCTGGAGGTCTTAGCAGATACAATAAAATGAGAAAAAGAAAGATTGGAAAGGGAAAAAGAAAACTACCTTATTCCAAAGTGTTTATTATTTATTATATGTATAGAAAATCCAAAAATAAAAATCTACATAGAATAAGAATTCAAGATTCATATTCTTATTAAAAATATCATGTATATATATGGAGCATACACACAAAGACACTAAAAGGTTCTATATGAAATAAGATTTATCTTTAGGTTGTAGGTTTATATTTTTATTTTTTTGTTTCACCATTATGGTTTTTCCAGTATTCTCCACTAGATTATTATATGTTTTAAAAGAATAATGTTACAAGATGTCAAATAAATATATAAAAGTCAATTTTGTGTCTACATACTAGAAACAAACAGAAAACACAATTTAAAGAGGTGTCATTAAATAGCAAAATAAAATACCTAGGAATAAATCAAGATTTCAATATATTTTTTAAAAAAATTATAGGCTGGGAGCAGTGGCTCACGCCTGTAATTCTAGCACTTTGGGAGGCCAAGGCAGGTGGATCATAAGGTCAAGTGTTCAAGACCATCCTGGACAACATGGTGAAACCTTGTCTCTACTAAAAATACAGAAATTAGCTGGGCATGGTGGCACATGCCTGTAATCCCAGCAACTTGGGAGGCTGAGGCAGGAGAATCCCTTGAACCTAGGAGGTGGAGGTTGCAGTGAGCCAAGATCGCGCCACTGCACTCTGGTCTGGTGACCGAGCGAGACTCTGTCTCACAAAAAAGAAAAAAAAGAAAAAGAAAAGAAAGAAAATTATAAAAATTAAAAGAAATTTAAAAATTTTAATAAATTTAAAAAATCATATTAATGGTTTAAAAGTCTCAACATCCAAAAGATGTAACTTCTTTCTATGTGAATCTATAGATTCAACACAATTCCAACCAAAATCCCAAAAGAAAGTTTTGTGGAATTTAATAATCTGATTCTAAATGGATACAGAAAAGAAAAATGATATAAATCATTAAGACATGTCTAAGAAGAAGAAACATATAAAAGAAAGTGCTCTATCAGGAAACAAGATTGATTACTAGGCTTTAATAATTAAGTCAGTGCAGCATTTGTACTGGGATAGACAAGTTGATCAAATGGAACAAAGAGAAAGCTCAGAAACAGACTCCCCCTTGTAACCTGAGATACAGCAGAGTTGCACTGCAAATCAGTGGGTAAAGGAGATCTATTTTAAAACAGTGGGACAGCAATTCCCCAAGAGAACAATAAGTTCTCTTGCTGGGAAAAAATGAAAATTCATCCTTACTGGACACCACATCTTAAAATAATTTTTAGGTCAACAGATTCTACTTCAATAGAGGTGGGCAAACAGGAATGGAGGATTCATTCTGATTGACAGGGAGGATAGTTTTCTCAGGAGAGATGACCTTTGATGTGGTCCTTGAAGAATGAAAAGGATTCTTATGGGAGAGCAATGTGGGAAATGGACTTCCAGGCGAGAGCAGCCAGATCAAAGTCTCAGTGTGAGAGGCACGTTCTGGGAATGGACAAACAACCAGCCTGTCCGAACGGGAAAGAAAGCTATAGACGTTGATGGCTGGCTGGCCGTTTATAGTATTTTTGCATCTACGCTGCACCACGTTTCGGTTCTCCATCCTGGTAAGAACCAGTTATATTCGCAGGAAAAAAATAAATAAATATAGTGCTTCTACAACACTGACACTCATCAAAAAGCCACTTTTATTAGAGTTCAGATATGGAAAAAATAAAATCAAAAACATTTTTTAAAGCCTTGAGAAGTTCAAGTTACCTTTTCTTTCTTTTCTTGGGTGTCCTGGTTCTGGTTACCGGTGATTTTGTCGGCCTTGTTATGTACATTAGGAATGACCTACGGCGACAAAAAAAAGGGGTAGAGGGAAGAAAATATTTAAATGACATAATCATCACATTTTTTTTTCTCTGACATTCCAGAATGGAGAATTTTTTTTCAATCATTACATTCCTTTTTTTCTTTCTTTCTTTTTTTTTTGTCTGAGATGGAGATTCGCTCTTGTCGCCTAGGCTGGAGTACAATGGCACGATCTCTGCTCACTGCAACCTCTGCCTCCTGGGTTCAAGCGCTTCTCCAGCTGACAAGCTGTGATAAGAGGCACCTGCCACCATGCCCAGCTAATTTTTGTATTTTTTGTAGAGACGGAATTTCACCATGTTGGCCAGGCTGCTCTCGAACACCTGACCTCAGATGATCTGCCCGCCTCAGCCTCCCAAAGTGCTGGGATTACAGACATGAGCCACTGTGCCTGGCCTATCATTACATTCCTAAATGTATTTGTTTAAACAGCTAAAATCTTAACTTTGTAACTTCATCTAAAAGGTAAAAATATGAGAAGTACAATTCAAAGCAAACAATAAAACTTGGAAAATCTGACAAGATACATAACTCTAAAATATTATAAAGTTATATATATGCCATCAGGGCATAAAAATGCAGGTTTCTATATGTAGATCTAGAAGCTGAAGATGAAAGAGACTAAAAACAAGGTCACATACTAACTGTCATCCAAACATCAAATTTTGCAAAATAGAGTTTTAGGGGTGATCTAATTAATTATCCAAGAACATAGGATAACACATTTGTTTGGTAGATTTACCTTATTCATCATTGTACCCCCAGTTCAAGTATGTTATCTCCCACACTGTGTGTGCTCAATAAATATTCCACTATCACTATTAGCATAAGGATGAATTAACAAATCTATTCCCACCACTGAATAAGCTTAATGAGAGCAGAATTCAACGTTATTTTTCACTATTTCTCTAGTGTTCAGAAACGGCCTAATACATAGTTGTACATAATAAATGTTTATAAATAAATGAACCAGTTTAATTTTATAAAAAGAGGCTCCTCAAAGAGCTAGCACAGATAATCTTGGCATAAAATCTGGTGAGAGACATGAAGATTAAAAGAAAAAAATAGACCAAGTACAGTGGCTCATATCTGTAATCCCAGCACTTTGAGAGGCCAAGGCAGCAGGATCGCAGGAGTCCAGGAGTTTGAGACCAGCCTGGGCAACAGAGGGAGATTCCATCTCTACAAAAATTTAAAAATTAGCTGGGTGTGGTGGCATGTGTCTATAATCCCAGCTACTTGTGGGGCTGAGGTCGAGGCTACAGTGAGCCACAATTGCACCACTGAACACCAGCCTGGGTTACAGGGCAAGACAAGACCCTGATTCAAAAAATACATAAATAAATTAAAAAGAAAAAAAAAAACTCCTTGCTCAGAAAACTAAAAGACTGCCTGCCTAGAGATAATTAAAAACAAAAAGCCCATTTTCCCCTAAATGCAATTTAAGATTAAATTTTCATTTTTAATACAGAATGTAAAAAGTTTAGAATAAATGAGAAAGTCTCAGAAATGTGTCATTTACATAAAAAACAACAGTAATGATACATTAATATATATACAGTGCTATGTGAAGAGGCACTGTGCTAGTACCTAATATTTCTACATCTGTTTAATACATATAACAACCTAAGTCAGATTTCAAAGACTGGTGGGGTTTACAGGCATGTGTTCCTTGTCCTGAAGAATCTTGAACAAAACACTGCCTCCCTGACAAATCAGAAACTACCTGCCCACACTACTACTTTCTCCCATGGAAAAACTAGCTGATGCTAAATAGAAGCTTTGGGATGAGACAGAATGTCAGTTGCCACTATAATGTTTCTCTTTCTTTTCTTTCTTTCTTTCTTTTTTTTTTTTGTTGTTGTTGAGACAAAGTCTGGCTGTGTCGCCCAGGCTGGAGTGCAGTGGCGCGATCTCAGCTCACTGCAACCTCCGTCTCCTGGGTTCAAGCAATTCTTGTGCCTCAGCCTCCCAAAAGTAGCTGGGATTACAAGTGTGTACCACCACATCCGGCTACTTTTTCTATTTTTAGTACAGACGGGGTTTCACCATGTTGACCAGGCTGGTCTCTAACTCCTGACTTCAAGTGATCCTTTCACCTCGGCCTCCCAAAGTGCTGGGATTATAGGCGTGAGGCACCACGCCTGGCCCATTGTTTTTCAAATAGCAGAGAAATGTTCTTCTGAACATATATCTTTAGCAAAATTTAGAAGACAAAATGCTCAATAAGACTCCACCTTTCAGGAAAACAGACGATTGTATTTCTTGTGAAAGTAAAAATATATTTATAGGCGATTAATATGCAAAATGTTCATGTGTCAAAAAAAGTAGGTACCCTTATGGAACAATGGTATTGGTAAGTACAATTGGAATATAGGAAGAAAGAAAGCAACACGTGATGATAAACATAATGAGCTGAAGATATGACCCAATTTCAAAAGGATTTTTTAATATGAAATATATATATATGATATTTCTGTGAAATGCAGTTATGTTATTAAGTGGAAAAAATTACCTTACAGAAAAACGTTGTATAGGCCTTACTCTCAAATAAATATTTGCCAAGTACATCCAAGTAGATACACACATTTTTCCAGAAGGCTGAAAATATGCTTGAGAAAGTCAGGGTGAGAAGATTTAAAAGGTGTATTGGTGGCTGGGCGTGGTGGCTCACGCCTGTAATCCCAGCACTCTGGGAGGCCGAGGCAGGTGGATCATGAGGTCAGGAGTTCGAAACCAGCCTGATCAACATGGTGAAACCCTGTTTCTACTAAAAATACAAAAATCAGCCGGGTATGGTGATGCATGCCTGTAATCCTAGCTATTCAAGAGGCTTAGGCAGAAGAGTCGCTTGAACCCAGGAGGCAGAGGTTGCAATGAGCCGAAATTGTGCCACTGCACTCCAGCCTGGGCAACAGTGAGACTCTGTCTCAGAAAAAAAAAAAAAAGGTGTATTGGTGATGCTCCTAAGGCAGCTGATAATGCACACAGATAAAAACAACCACTCAATTCATAGTGCTGAGGAGAATGTTTATGTGACCAAGGTACTTTTAGACATCAGGCCTTAGATGGACACAACATTAGAAAATGACTTATTTTGGGGGTTTTAAGGAAACTTCAAAATTTAATGTAAACTAGATACAAATGATTAAGCATTGCCTATATTTTCTATTTCTGGATAATCAGTACTACTTGCAATAATAAGTAAACCAAAAATAGCACCATTTTACAAAGACATGAAACTTGATTCTCCTTTCATTTGCCTCACGCAATAATAATCGTTTTGCCCTGGTCAGGTGCAGTGGCTTATGCCTGTAATCCCAACACTTTGGGAGGCTGAGGCAGGAGGATTGCTTGGGCCTGGAGTTCAAGACCTTCCTGAGCAATAAGGGGAGATCCTGTCTGCAGGAAAAAATCAAAAACTAGCTGGGCATGGTGATGTGTGCCTGTGGTCCCAGCCACTTGGGAGGTTGAACTGGGAAGATTGCTTGAGCCAAGGAGTTCGGGGTTTCAGCAAGCCATGATTGTGCCACTGCACTCAGCCTGGGGGACAGAATAAGACCCTGTCTCAAAAAAGAAAAGTCACTTTGCCCTATAAACAAAGTTGAAAACGGAACAAGTCATGGACATAGTAATTAACATCATCAATGGGATATGCTCCCTTGGATAGAATCACAGATAGTTCAATGCCTGATGAACTGAATGTACAATGTGGCACTCTATTATACTACATAGGGAGTAAGTAACTTGAGCATGGTATGGTGCTGAAGAGATTTTCTTTGTTTGAATAATTAAAAGAAATTGCACTGTTTGTGTCATCCAAACAAAACTTTCCACCTCAGCTCACTAGCAAAGGTTGGATTGAAAGCTTAGCCTTTTTGGCAGGGCATTCACAGCTGGCCACGCAAATGTATAATTTGATTGGCTCATTCTCATTCAAAATTATTGATTTGGAAGTATAATTTGGCAAACAACAATCTGGCCAATTTTCCTGTCGAACTAGGTTTCCAAAAATAAAAGCCATGGCCTCAACTACATTCTCAATATTATAAGAATTAAAAACTGGATTCTAAAAATTCTTATTGAATTTCAAATTTTATGAAAACAAGAGAACTTTATTCAGCTCACCTCTCTCAATTAGTCTTGATGGTGTAAACATGGTGCTAAGAATGGAAGGCACCACACTGCAAAATGCAGTGACACAGCAGAGGTGCCAATGCAGGCTGCAGCTCACTATGCATAGGCAGGTTACAAGTATGCAAAATATTCCATCAATGCCCTCACCACTGGGATAGCCAACCATATACCCAGCCAGTTTGCCATATAAGTATTATTTTCTTTTTGCCTTGACATACAACAGATTGGAATGCACTACAAAACTATATTGGAAAGCAAATAAATTTTTAAAATATGCAGTTAGACGTGCATATGTAAGCCTGGGGAACAAAGTGAGACCCTGTCAAAAAACCAAAAAAAAAAATTCACCAGGTGTAGTGGCATGCACCTGTAATCCCAGCTACTTGGGAGGCTAAGATAATAAGATTGCTTGAGCTCAGGAGATAAAGGCTACAGCGAGCTATGATCATGCCACTGCACTCCAGGTTAGGTGACAGAATGAGACTCTGTCCCCAGAAACAAACAAAAAAAGAAGTGTATATGTTTTGAACAGCTGTCTTCCATTATAAAATGAAGAAAAAGAATATTGCTTCCAGTTTTGTTTTTTTTTTTTTTTTTTTTTTTTTTTTTTTTTTTTTTTTTTTTTTTTTTTTTTTTTTTTTTTTTTTTTTTTTGGTGATGTTTCTGTTGCACATTGTAGTATAAAATCCATATCCTGCCACTGACATTTCATATCACAGTGCCAATTCCATACCACAGGAGTAATTCATTACAGAAGAAAAACTGTAGGTCAGGTGCAATGGCTCACACCTGAAATACCAGCACTTTGGGAGGCCAAGGTGGGCAGATCACTTGAGGCCAGGAGTTTGAGACCAGCCTAGCGAACAAGGTGAAATCTCGTCTCTGCTAAAAACACAAAAATTAGTGGGGCATAGTGGTACATGCTTGCAATCCCAGCTATTTGGGAGGCTAAGGCACAAGAATCACTTGAACCTGGGAGGCAGAGGTTGCAGTGAGCTGAGATCGTGCCACTGCACTCCAGACTGGGCAACAGAGCAAGACTCCATCTCAAAAAAAAGAAAAAGAAGAAAAAGAAAAATTTTATGATTAAATATTGCTATTTTTACATTTGGAATCTCTAACATTAAAACACACAACAGTACAACATGTCAACGTGTTTTTATTTTTACATCTTTTAGTAAATATACACAACATGTGATAGTATCTCTACAATGTTTTGACACGTGACCCTCTGTTCAAAGTATTTCATAAACAAAGTAACTTGCTCAGAAAAGTAACTTGCCTCCAAGTTAGCAAAGCTGGTAAATAAGGAATCAAGAAATTGAAAACAGGTCTGTTTGATTCCAGGAGCAGTAACTTAAACCAATGCACACTGTAATGACTCCAATTTGACCAGAAGATCAAAACTGGAGGGGAAAAAAGGGAACTTAATGACTAAATTTTTATGAAGCTCATACTTTAACTATAGTTTGGGAACTACAATGAAAATATGTGGAAAATATTTAGAGGGCACAGCTTGGTCTGCAGGTATCCAGAGTATTGTTAAACTTTTTGAAAATATGAACTAAAACTTACTCGTGGAGTGGATGACAAGCTCTGAACAACGAACACCACAGGGTTTCCTGCATTCTTAATGGCCTCAACTGCTTCGCTGTGTGAGGCATTCTGCAAATCTACTCCAGACACCTGAAACACAGGAGCAACTTATTTCAATTAGACCAGCATTAGATATTGCAGATAGGTTAATTCAAAGTTCATGTGTATTACCTAGTTATGAGAACAACCAGAGTCTAAGGAGTTAGACCACAGTCAGAAAAAAAATAAGATTGGCCCATAAAAGGCTTGGCTATTTTAGGAGAACATGTTTAAGGAAAGTAACATTTCACCTTTAGAAAAGTAGATAAGTCAAATATATTAATAAAAACAGCCCTGGTTAAATATAATTATCCAAAACAGGTAGTTCGGACAGTAACAGAACCTTAAGATGTCTGTCACCTCTGCCAGGAGCACAGTACATAATTCCGAGTGGGATAAAGGAGGCTGGGAATATCTATGGACTTTTATCATCTCTCCATTAAGCTGAGAGGCATAATATTTTAAGCAAATCGCCTGTTACCACAATCGAGTAGTTGAACATTTCTCAAATTATGTTTAAAAAGAAGTAACAAAAAACATCCACAAGTTCTTTTACTAAAACTATTTATGTGTTCAATAAATTTGAGTAAGTGTAAACAGTTCCTTATTATAGAAATTTCAGAGAATGTAACTTGCTAACATGCCCATAAATGTCCAAGAGCACTCCACATTTCCAAAACATGTTTAACAGAACTAAGTTTTCAAATGTATAATGTAACAAAGCCTTGGTAAATGCTGGGATGGTCTATGGTCTCAATGGATACTAACAATTTGTGAAGACTGCTTTGCTATTAGAGGACGAGGAAACAGGAATGTGGGTGGAGAGGGATGTGGGATGTTTTTAAGACGGGAAGAAATATTACAGCAATAATGATACAGTGTAGAGAAAAAAATGGATGATAAAGGAGAGACATGACAACTGTAAGGACAATATCCTTGGATAGTCAAGAGGAAATGATTCCTACCGTACAAGTTAGAGAGATTGGCTTTGGATAGAAGCACAAATGTAATTCCTTTGCTGTTACAGAGGCAGTTAGAAAAAAGATTTGGTGAGCACTGGAAGCAGGGGAAGTTCCCTTTAACTGCCTCTATTTTCTCAATGAAACCTGAAACCAGGACCTTAAACTGAGAGCAAGACTAAGTTAAGAGGCATAAGGAGTTTGGCACAGTTACCTGTCATATTAGTTTGTTCTCACATTGCTATAAAGAACTGCGTAACACTAGGTAATTTATAAAGGAAAGAGGTTTAATTATCTCATGGTTCTGTATGGCTGGGGAGGCTTCAGGAAACTTACAATCATAGTGGAAGGGGAAGCAAACACATGGCAGGAAGGGGAAGTGCCAAGAAAAGGGGGAAAAGTTCCTTGTAAAATCATCAGATCTTGTAAGAACTCACTCACCATCACAAGAACAGCAGAGCAGGGGTAACCACCCCCATGATTCAATTACCTCCCACTGGGTCCCTCCCATGACATGTGGGGATTTTGGTAACTACAATTCAAGATGAGATTTGGGTGAGGACACAGTCAAATCATATCACTTATAAAAACTGGAGACTGAACCAGCTAGGAGAAAATTACAGGACAGCAGGGCAAAACTAAAGACCCGCTTAAGGGGGTGCTCATGAGCTTCTAATGAGACCAGATACCATGGCTGGTTATTTTTCCAGCCATGCTAGAGACCTGGAATAAGCAGAGCTGCACTTAACTAGGGGATTCTCCCAGACAAGTTCAGTGAAAGGAAAGAGGATCAAGAGTAGGAAGCACATGCAAGGGAGGGGTTGGAGCTGCCAACCACTGAACTTGAGTAGGCTGAGGAGGAAGTGAGCACATGAGAAGCTGAGGACACAGATGTGTGTGCCTGTGGTATAATATGAAATGTCCTTGTTCTTGTCACAGAGTACCCTTGGAGTTTCCTGAGTGGTAGGAGTGTCTTTTGTTATGCATTAACAGCCCTTTTCACATGTGAGTTCATGCTACTGAGGTGGCTTAGGGTAGATCCCCCGGATAGCCTCAGGATGGGGCAAGTCACAGAAAGACCAAAGGATTAGAGAATCCCTGCACTTCCCCCACGATCTCCAAGAAGTGAGGGTGGGGGCTAGAGATGAAGCTCTGTAAAAACCCTTGAACAACAAGATTTGATGAGTTTCTGGGTTGTTGAACATGTCGACATGCTGGAAGGGTGGCAGGTAGTACACCCAGAGTGTGGATGCTCTGTGCCCTCCTCCTCACGCTTTGCCCTATGCATCTCTTCATCTGGCTGTCCATCTGTAACCTTTGTATAACCAGTAAATGTAAGTAAGTGTTTCTCTGAGCTGCCCTAGTAAATTAACAAAATTCAGGGGGAGGGATGTGGGAATTCTGGTTTGTAGCCAGCTGGTCAGAAGTATAGGTGACAACCTACTAAGATTGGCGTCTGACATGGGGGCAATCTTGTGGGACCAGGCCCTCAACTGTATGATCTGATGCTATATCCAAGTACATAGTATCGGAATTGAATTAAATTATAAGACAGTTGGTGTCCGCTGGGGATCTGACACTATCTCCAGATACATAGTATCGGAATTGAACAGAATGGTAAGATATCCAGTTGGTGTCCACTGGAGAACTGCTTAGTGTATGGGGGAAACTCCTACACATCTGGTGACATCTAATGTTCTGAGTGTGAGAGTAAAGGGAAAAGGTTGGTAAGAATATGGAGAAACTTAAACACTGCTGGTGTGAATGTAAAACGGTATAGCCAGTCACTCTGGAAAAGAGTTTGACAATTCTTTTCAAAACCAAAAGTAAAATTACCATAAAACTCAGTAATTGCACCCTTGGGTATTTATCCTAGAGAAATGTAGACTTACTTTCACTCAGGAATTTGTACACAAATATTTAGAGCAGATTTATTTGTAATAGTCAATAATTAAAAACTACCCAAGTGTCTTTCAGTGGGTGAATGATTAAACAAATTGGTACATCCATATTATGAAATGCCACTGCTATGGTTGGAATTAATGTGTCCTTCACAATTCGTATCTTGAAATCCTAACCTCTAAGGTGAAGGTATTAGGAGGTAGCTAGGGCCTTTACAAAGGGATTAGGTCATGAGGGCTCTGCCTTCAAGAATGGGATTAGTGGCCTTATAAAAGAGACGCAAGATAGCTAGCTCATCCCTTCTACTATGTGAGGACACAGTGAGAAGGGCATCTCTGGCCCCACAGAAAACAGGTCCTCACCAGACACTGAATCTGCCAATGCCTTGATCTTGGAGTTCCCAGCCTTCAAAACTATAATGGAATTTCTATGTTTATGGTATTTTGTTTTGGCAGCCTGAATTTCCAAAGACAACTACTCAACAAAAAGGAAGAAAGTGGTAGTTTATTTGTAGAGAGAGGGTCTTATTATGTTGTCCAAGCAAATCTTGAACTCTTGGACTCAATCCATTCTCTTGCCTCCGCCTCCCAAAGTGCTGGGATTACAGGTGTGAGCCACCTCACCCAGCCATAGGAATGAACTATTAATGTGTACAACAAATTGAAAGAACCTCAAGGAGATTATGCTAAGTAAAAAAAGGCAATCTCAAAAAAAACACATAATGCATAATTGCATTTATGAGATAATAGTGAAATAACATATTTATAGACATCAACAAACAGAAAACTGGTTGACAGAAGTTAGGGATGAGAGAGAAAGGGAAGAGGCAATCGAAAGTGAAGAAGGTGCCTGCTTCTCTTTCCACCATGATTATAAGTTTCCTGAGGCCTCCCCAGCAATGCGGAACTGTCAGTCAATTTAACCTCTTTCTTTCATAAATTATCCACTCTCAGGTATTTCTTCATAGCAGTTGAGAACGGACTAATACAGAAGGGTAATGCAAGGGAGTTCTGTGGTGATGACACAGTTGAGTTTCTCAATCGTGGTGGTGCATATGCAAGGTTTTACATGTGATAAAACTGTATAGAGCTACAAACACACACACAAATCAATGCATGCATAACTGGTGAAATCTGAATAAACTACGGATTGAGTCAATGTCATTTTCTTGGTGTTGCTATTATAGTATAGTTGTATAAGATATTAAAATTGGAGGTGACTGAGTGAAGGTTACATGGGACTTCCGCATATACTTCTTTGTAATTTCCTATGAATTTATGATGATTTCAAAATACATTAAGAAAACTATAATACAAAAATAAATATTAAAAAATTAAATTATAATAGATCAGTAATCAAAGTAAAAGTGAATTCACCTCACTTATTTTCTAGATGATTGAATTTAAAAAACAAAATTTAGCTATATGTTGCTCATGCCTGTAATCCCAGCACTTTGGGAGGCTGAGGTGGGCAGATCACCTGAGGTCAGGAGTTCGAGATCAGCCTGAACAACACGGCAAAACCCCATCTCTACCAATACATACAAAAATTAGCCAGGCAAGGTAGTGGGCACCTGTAATCCCAGCTACTCAGGAGGCTGAGGCAGGAGAATTGCTTGAACCTGGGAGATGGAGGCTGCAGTGAGCCGAGATAGTGCCACTGCACTCTAGCCTGGGTGACACAGAGAGATTCCATTTCAAAAAAAAAGCAAAGTACCATGTAAATTAATAACTAAAATAAAACAGGGTTACCAATATTAATAAAATAGAATTTAAGGTAAAAAGTAACTAATAGGAATAAAGAGGAAAACTACATAATGTCAAAAGCAAATCACCAACAAATCCACTAAATACAGCAAAACCAACAGAATTACAAAGAATAGCAAACAAATCCATAATCACAGTGGGAGACAAACTTTAACTGAAACTGAGGAAAAAGACCAAAAAAATTAGTAAGAATACGGGACTCCTTATTTGTTTATCTAAATGACTATCACTATATGGATGTCAAATAGGCATCTTAGCCTAACATGTCTAAAACGTATCTCCCCAAATCTGTTCCTCCCACAGTATTCTCCATCTCAGCAAATGGAAATTCCATCTTCAATTTCTCAAGCTGAAAAGCTTTTCAATTATCTTTGCCACTTTATTCGCATCCATTCCGTTAGTAAGTCCTATTATTCACCTGCAAAATATGCTACAACCTGACTGCCCTCCTTCTGGTCCAGGCCGCCATTCTTTCTCTCCTAAGTTACTGCAACAGCCTTCTGGCTGAGGCCCCTGCTTCCATCCCCGCCCCCGAAGCCAGAATACTCCCTTGAAACAATACTTACCTGCTCATGATTCTCCAGTGACTCTCCACTGCATTCAGAGCAGAAGACCTTCCAGAGCTTTCAGGCTCTACATGATGTGGCTTCCCACCACTCCTCAGCCCTTTTCTCTTACCCCTTCTGGCTTGTTCACGCTATGCTATCATTGCTGGACTTCCTGCTACTCCTTGAACACATCTAGGCAAGCTCCTACCTCGGAGCTTTTGCATGTTTTTCTTCCTCCACATATCCATATGGCTGACTCTCTCATTTCCTCTATTTGTCCCAATATCATCTTCCATAACAAAGCTATTAAAAGTGCGACTATTGCTTTCACCATCCCCCTGAAGCCGACGCTCCTTATCCTCCTCCCCTGCTTTATTTTGTTTCCTAGCTACTTATTACAATCTGACGTTCTACATATACTTATTTATTTTATTGTCTATTCCCCCATTCCCACTATCATGTAAACACCATAAGGGAAGGGACTTTTGGTCATTTTCTTCATTGCCATATTAGTAGTATATTTGAAAATTGTTTTAAACATTGCACAGCACAAATATAACTCAACATTTGTATATACAGAGCAGCTTTTATGTAGTTCTTTAATTTAATCCTCACAATAATGCTATCAATTTTGAATTCTCATTTCCATTTTATCTGAAAACAAAATAAGTAGGTCTAATGATTTGTCCAAAAACACATAGAAAATAAAAAGGACAGACTCTGACTCCAACCCATGATATCCAGGGCTCTTTGTATTCTACCAGAGGTGAAACACCATGATTGATGGTTAGCATCATAAAGAATGAATCAAGAACAAGCAGATTATGGGATTAGAGGTGCCCACCATGGTGTCACCCAATTAACCCAATGGAAAGAAATGTATCACATTCACACCTCAGGGCATTCTCAGTGGTTTCATGTGCCTTTTTTTTTTCTGCTTTGAGACAACAGTGTCGCTCTGTCACCCAGGCTAGAGGGCAGTCCAATCTTAGCTCACTGCAACCTCCACCTCCAGGGTTCCAGCGATTCTCCTGTCTCAGCCTCCTGAGTAGCTGGGAATATAGGCGTGTGCCGCTATGCCCGGCTAATTTTTGCATTTTTAGTAGATGGGGTTTCACCATGTTGGCCAAGCTGCTCTCAAACTCCTGACCTCAAGTGATGTGCCCGCCTCGGCCTCCCAAAGTGCTAGAATTATAGGCATGAGTCACCATGCTCGGCCTGATGTGTCTTTAAAACTTAGCACCCACGAAGCATATCAGGTGCAAATCATGGATCCTCCCCGCTCAATAGTCTTCAACCTTCCAGGGTCAATTTCTTTCTCTAAACAAGCATAGATATCCTACTAACACACAATTATAAAATTTAGAGCTTCAAGAAAAACATTTATAGCTTGTTAAAGAATGTAGGAGAAGCATAATGTCTACCATCTGCCCTGTTCTACATAGAGCCCTTTGTTAGTTAAAGTGTTTTTTGCAATCAGCTGAAGTTTTTCTTTTATCATTTTATTTGTTTACCCCCACCCCCACTCACTTGAGAAACTCATAAATTGTGCATACAATGTACAAACTAAGGCATATAAATAGAGCACACCGACTGTACATACACGGTCCCCAACACATAAAGAAAGGTCTTCGAGCTAAATGATTATTTCACTGTCTTACAGTATGTTTCCAATAAAAACAGTACTTTAACATCATTTACCTCAAGTATTTTATCTCCAGTTTTAAGTGCGTTTGTTTTCCCTGCTGGACTGTCTTCTAAAACTTGTTTGATGAATATACCTTTAAGTTCCTCTCCATTCTTTAGACGTTTTATAACAGTTTGTCCACCAACAATACTGATCCCAAGAGACACATTGGGTTCTCTAAAAATCTCAACACTATATAAAGGAAAAAAACAAAACTCACTTATTAACAAGTTTAATCTGTTGGACTGTAAGTATTCCATTTGTATTATATCCTTGTGACTCATATTTTATATAAATTTTTGAAATATATTTTTACGAATGTTATACAAATTATACCTAGTTCCAATGTTATCAATAATTCATAACAAGTGAAAGCTTCAGTTCTGAAGAGCATAGATTTCTAGAACAATAAATATAACTCTAAATATTCAGTGAAGGTTTAGCTAAGCCCTAATGTTCCCATCTCCTATCATAATATATTTTCTGTGATTAGTCCTTTTCATTTATATCCGTAACATAAGCAAAGAAAGGACTGAAGAAATAACAAATGGGCAAGACAAAAAATCAAGAAAGCTACATATGTCATTTCGGCAAAAAGTACAGACTTTCAGAATAAAATCAATTTGACACTGAGTGGCTCCTTGTTCAAGTTGCTTTTCCCAGTCAGCAGGTTTATCTCTGTGGTTCTTTAATCAGAGGACAGATTTTACCTGCTCCTAAGGTCACAAGGTTTTGTTTTCTTCCTACCTCCATGTCATTATTTAAAAGAAAGTATGAAATGAAAACTGCCCCCCTCAAAATATTATAGGTTTTGCATTGCAGCCAATAATTAACTCATTAAAAACGTAACTCAGAAAACAACTCTTAAATGTTTTAAGACAAATTCAGATTTCAATTACAAGAAAAGAACCAGTTTGGGTGGAGGTGGTGGAATTAATAATAGATACGGAATAGAGAGAGCAGCTAAAGGGAGACTTTCATCATCTTAAAGTGCAGCCCTGGTGGGGACTTAAAATTACAGCGACTGGTGAGTATTTAAAACTTCCCCCACATCCAAGGGAAGATGGGTTTTCCACACATTCTGTTAGCACAAACATGGACTCTCCACCAGGGGAGGAAGGTAGAGATAAACTGATATATACTAGAAGCCTCAACTACTGTTATTGTTGTTTACCAAAAAAGAAAGCTTTACTGCATTCAAGGCAGCTTTACCCAACTTGCTTAAGGACATAGTGATAAACTATACTTGTTAGATGGACATTTCTACGTTGCTTTCTCTGAAAGAGTATCAAAGATGTTCCTAATATTAGTTATAGTCGTTTCGTTCGGCTAAAAATCTCTAGATAAGATAAAATGAAACTAAAATGTAGACCAGCTTACAGGTGAATTATCACAATTTTTCAATCATTAGAGTAGCACTAAATGATGTTCTGTTAAGTTAAAGAAAAGAGTAACTGGTTGTGCTCCTATTGAGAAAGCCAATAATGTCATCCACATACATTCTCGGTGGACCCCAGTGGCTAAAATTTGGAGTTTCTTCTCCTTCGCCCTCTTCTCTCTCAGGTAACTCACTACAGAGGGAGAAAGAAAAAAATACACACAATTTTAAGGCACACTCATTATTAAGGTCCTTGGAAAGTTTTGAAATTGTAAAATCTATAGGTAGTTAAATGATTCTCAATTTTTAAATTTTTAAAATATTTACATCAATAAATATGCAAAGCAAAAAGATACTGCTTTAACATTCAACTCAACTAATCCCCACCCAGCATTAGAAAATCACAGAATTATTACAAACACTTTTATTGGTGACACTCTAGATGCTAAAAGTTTGTGTTTGCTTTGTGCAATTTCAAATTTGTTTCTCTATCAATATGTAAAATGTTATAAAATGTATTCCTTAAAACTTGTTTGACCAGCTAAAACACAGAAATCGACAAGTATCATATGTATCAAGTATAAATCAACATGAACAGGTCAATATGATCCATCTTTCTAGCCCTAAATATTTCTTGTATCCCATGAATATTTTGCATACTTATAGGGAACTTTTCAGTTACTTATATCATCTAAAATGATCCTCACTGCTTCCCACCTACCACCACTTTTCATCCAGCAAGTTAAGTTAGTATAGAACTACTGAACTGAACATTGTTGAAACCTGGTCTCTACAAAAAAATCAGCTGTGCATGGTGGCACATGCCTGTAGTCCCAGCTACTTGGGAGGCTGAGGCTGGAAGATTGCTTGAGCCTGGAAAGTCAAGACTGCAGTGAGTCATGTTTGTGCCACTGCACTTCAGCCTAGGTGACAAAGCAAGACCCTGTTTCAAAATAAAAAAAAGAACTGCTGAACTGGATAATGTAAAATGCTGAGTTACAGAGTATTTAGTTATAAGATTAATGCAATAGTGAATAGACAGTGCAGTATATTATCTGGAAGAGAAATCAGAAGTCCTAAGCTCAAGTCTAATTTATACCATGAAATAGGTGTGTGGCTTTGGACCACTAAATGAAATCAGTCTGATGTTGTAAATTGTATTACTCTACACAAAAAACTAGGTGCTATCTCTTCCACTTCATTTTCATAAAAACCCTTGGCCAGGTGTGGTGGCTCATGGCTGTAATCCCAGGGCTTTGGGAGGTTAAGGCAGGAAGATCACTTGAGCCCAGGAGTTTAAGACCAACCTGGACAACACAGTGAGACCCTATCTCTAAAAAAAAAAAAAAAAAATTAGCTGGGCATGGTGGCACACCTGTAGTACCAGCTACTGACTGGGGAGGCTGGGGCAGGAGGATCATTTGACATCAGGAGCTCAAAGCTGTAGTGAGCTATAATCACACCACTATTCTCCAGCCTGGGCAACAGAGCAAGACTCTGTCTCAAAAACAAAAATCCCTCTAACCTACAAAGTAAGCACAGCAGATCACATTATATTTTACACAGGAGGAACTGAAGCTCAGAGAAGGCTTAAGCATACTATACAACCTCACAACCTTTCCTCATGTATCCAAATCTGTTTTAGCCCTAAGTTTCAATACTCCCATTTTTCTCTGAACTTTCAAGTAAGTCCTATAAAATGCAGCAAAACTCCACCTTCTTGGCCCTCTAGAGACTTAGTATCTAGGATAAAACCATTGTAAGGCCATGTGAAAAGGAGAAGGCTGAAAGGATCTAGACAAGCCAAATATCAGTTAAGAAATTAGGATCGTTACATCCCGCCCACTACCAGATGTCTTTCTTACCTTAGCCAGTCTAATTTTTATGATTAAAAGCATCACAGCATTCAGGGGAAAATAACGTGGCAGACACTTGCTGGTTACTTTCTAATGTCTTTTTTTCCCCTTCTTCCATAAATACATAACCCCTCTTCTATTCTAGGTGGCACTATGCCCAGGTTTGAAAAAAATACATTTTCTGGACTTTCTTTCAGCTAATGGGAACTGTGTGCCACACTGCTGATCAGTGATATGGAACCAAAAGTACCTAGATGAGACTTCCAGGAAAACTCATTAAAAGGAAGGAGAATCAGCTGGCAGGAGCCTTTTGCTCTGTGCCCTCCCCTTCTTCTTGCCTAGAATTCACAGGTGATATTGGTGGTAAAACATTCATCTTCAAATCATACAGAAACAATGAGGAGTAAGGTCATACATTAAGGGCAGCAGAGCAGAAAGGACGAAGGTATTTAAGACCCTGATGACAACAGCACCACACCATCCTAAGACCACCTTCTTCAGGACTTTTCACATGAAAAAAACTTGCCTTTATTTGGTTAAGTCACACTAAATGGGGTTTCTGTTTATGAGTATGTAACTGTAATCCCTCAATGATACACCCACAGTTCCACCAATTCAAGTAAACTGTTTTCACTTTAACCTATCACATTCTTGTTCTTTGCAACTAGATTATCATTAGACAACTGTAATCATAGCACCAACTGTCCTATTTTGATGATCTTATGTAATAGCAACAAGGATTAAATTAGATATTAACTGAGGCTCAACCAATATTCATTTCCTCTATAATTTTTTTCACTTGAACTTATAACAAAAATCTACCCACATAGTATCATAATCTTCATCATTTTTTATTTACTAGTACCTTAATAGGCCATTGTATTGATGTAATTTATCTGCTATCTCAATATATGATGCACTTAGATTGTGTATTAGTCCATTTTCACACTGCTATGAAGATACTACCTGAGACTGGGTAATTTAAAAAGAAATGAGGTTTAATTGACTAACAGCTTCACATGGCTGGGGAAGCTTCAGGAAACTCACAACCATAGCAGAAGGTAAGGGGAAGGAAGGTATACATGGCAGCAGGAGAGAGAGAGTGCACAGGGGAAACTGCCACTTTTAAATCATCAGATCTCATGAGAACTCCCTCACTCTCATGAGAACAACATGTGAAAACTTCGCCCATGATCCAATCACCTCCCACCAGGTCCCTCACCTGACACATGGGAAATACGATTTGAGATGAAATTTGGGTGGGTACACGGAGCCAAACCATAACATTCCACCTTGGCCCCTTCCAACTCTTATGTCCTTTTCACATTTCAAAAGCAATCATGCCTTCCCAACAGTCTCCTAAAGTCTTAACTCCTTTAAGCATTAACCCAAAAGTCCAAGTACAAAGTCTCATCTCAGACAAGCCAAGTCCTTTCTACCTAGAAGCCTGTAAAATCAAAAACAAGTTAGTTATTCCCAAGATACAATGGGGGTACAGGCATTGGGTAAATGTTTTCATTCTTAATGTTCTCCAAATGGGAGAAATTGGCCAAAACAAAGGGGCCACAGGCTGCATGTATGTCCAAAACCTAGTGGGGTAGTCATTAATTTTTTTTTTTTTTTTTTGAGATGGAGTCTTCCTCTGTCGCCCAGGACGGAGTGCAGTGGCACAATCTTGGCTCACTGCAACCTCCACCTCCCAGTTCAAGCAATTCTCCTGACTCAGCCTCCCAAGTAGCTGGGCTTTCAGGTGTGCACCACCACACCTGGCTAATTTTTGTATTTTTAGTAGAGACAGGGTTTCACTACATTGGTCAGGCTGGTTTCAAACTTCTGACCTCAGGTGATTTGCCTGCCTCAGCCTCCCAAAGTCCTGGGATTACAGGCGTGAGCTACCGCCTGGTCATAGTCATTAAATCTTAAAGCTCCAAAATGATCTCCCTTGACTCCATGTCTCACATCCAAGAAACATTGATGCAAGGGGTGGGTTCCCAAGGCCTTGGGCAGCTCCGCCCCTGTGGCTCTGCAGGGTACAGCCCCCATGGTTGCTTTCACAAGCTGGAGGTGAGTGCCTGCAGCTTTTCCAGCTGCATGTGCAAGCTGCCAGTGGAGATACCATTCTGGGGTCTGCAAGATGATGGCCCTCTTCTCACTGCTCCACAAGGCAGTGCCCCCATGGGGACTCCATTTGGGGGCTTCAACCCCACATTTCTCCTCTGCATTGCCCTGGTAGAGATTCTCCATGAGGGCTCTGCCCTTGAGCTGACTTCTGCCTGGACATCCAGACATTTTCATATATCCTCTGAAATCTAGGCAGAGGCTCCCAAAGCTCAACTCTTGTCTTCTGTGCACCCTCAGGCCCACCACCACATGGATGCCGCCAAGGCTTGGAGCTTGTACCCTCTGAAGCAAGAGCCCAAGCTGCACCTTGGCCCCTTTTAGCCACAGCTGGAGCTGGAACAGCTGGAATACAGGATACAAAGTACCAAGGCTGCACAGAGTAGCAGGGCCTTAGGCCTAGCCCACGAAACCATTTTTCACTCCTAGGCCTCCGGGATTGTGGTGGGAGGGGCTGCACAAAGATCTCTGACAAGCCCTAGAGATATTTTCCCCATTGTCTTGGCTATTAACATTCAGTTCCTTGTTACTTATGCAAATTTCTGCAGCCAGATTGAATTCCTCCCCAGAAAATGAGTTTTTCTTTTCTACCACATGGTCAGGCTGCAAATTTTCTACACCTTTATGCTCTGCTTCCTTTTTAAATATAAGTTCCAATTTCAAACCATCTCTTTGTGAACACATATGATTGAATGCTTTCAGAAAAAGCCAGGTCACCTCTTCAATGCTTTGCTGCTTAGAAATTTCTTCCGCCAGATACCCTAAATCATCTCTCTCAAGTTCAAAGTTCCACAGATCTCTAAGGCAGGGGCAAAATGCTGCCAGTCTTTTTGCTAAAGCATAGCAAGAGTGACCTTTGCTCCACTTGCCAATAAATTCCTCATCTTCATCTGAGACCAACCCAGCCTGGACTTCATTGTCCATATCACCATCAGCATTTTGGTCAAAAGTATTCAACAAGTCTCTAGGAAGTTCCAAACTTTCCCACATCTTCCTGTCTGCTTCTGAGCCCTCCAAATCATTCCAACCTCTGCCTATTAGGCAGTTCCAAAGTCACTTCTACATTTTCAGGTTATCTTTATAGCAGTACTTCACTCTGCCGGGACCAATTCTCTATATTAGTCCATTATCACACTGTATAAAGACACTATCTGAGACTGGGTAATTTATAAAGAAAAGAGCTTTAATTTACCCACAGTTCCACATGGCTGGGGAGGCC